CGGGGTAGTGCCAGCCTTCCTCGTGACTCCCTCAAAGCACACCCAGAGGGCCTGGGGCAAGGACTGTGTGCCCCGACAGCTGCCAATCTACGGGATGAATGAAACAATGCCCAGAATGGGGGGTGGGGCAGGGAGATAAAAGCCCGAAGGTAGGCCATACCCGGAAGTAGGGCTTGTTGGAGAAAGACACCTCCTTGGCGGTGAAGAGGTGCACAGCTGCCAGCGAGGCCTTGATGTGGCTCAGGATGGAGCTGGCCACGTTGGCCAGCAACTCGGCCAGGCCCGGGCCTTCCTTTCCAGCCAGGCGAGGGGCAGCCAAAGCCTGCCGCACATCGGTCAGGCAACCCAGGAAGGCCGACCGCAGGCCCTGCAGGTGGTGGCCCAGGCGCTCGCGGGCCACTCGCTCCACGATCTCCGTGGCCGCCTCGGCCAGCCCAGCAGCGGCCAGCAGGGCCCCAGGAGCCCGCAGGCGCCGATGGAAGCGGTCCAGCGCCCGCACCAGCAGGGAGTTGTCACCGCCACCCTGCTCCTGCGCCAGCCGCCGCTCCACTAGCGCAAAGTAGCGGCCACCCAGCTCCCGGGCGAAGGCTGCCAGCCTCTCGGCACCCGCCGGGCCCTGGGCCGCAAAGAGCTCCTGGTAGGCCGAGGCCACCTGGCAGAGGCCACCCACAAAGCCACTTCCTCCGCGATCCGTGAACTCTAAGACGTCGGGAGCGGGAGGGGAAGGCCCCAGCTCTGCCTCCAGGCTCCGCAGCTCGGCCTCCAGCCGCCCACGGGCGTGCGCCAGGAACTCCTCACACAGCTCCTCCGCTGGCTCGCCCAGGGCCAGCAGCAGCTCCACGCACTCTGCCTGCTCGGGGGCGCCGGAGCCGCCCTCCCTGCAAAGTGGGAGGCGGCGGTCAAGGGCAGGCTGATCGAATTCGGGCGGGAGGGCGGAGGGGGACGAGTTTGGACCGCAACTGGCAGGCCCAGGGCCCCCGCTGGGGGTGGGAGAGGGTCCCGGGGCCACACCTGAAGCGCTGCCGCAGCTGCTGAGCCAGGCGAGCCGTGATGACCTGGCAGTCATCCTGGATGGCGCGGAACGAGGGCAGGTGCTGGTACTGCTGCAGGACGGCCCGCGCGCGGCCCTGGTAGCGCACCGCCTGCCCGTAGGCGCCCAGCTCCACGCACTTGGTGAGGCGCGAGGGCAGCTCGAAGAGGAACTGCAGCTTCCGCAGCAGCGCGTGGACCCCTGGAGGCCGGGGACAGGTGGTGTCAGCCCCAGAGCCTCGGGGTAGGCCGCTCCAGCACCCGCTCGGGGGCAGGGCCCACCTGCTAGCTTGGTGATGCGCTCATGGCGGTCCTGCAGGGTGGCGCTGATGCGCGCACTGAAGTCGGTGATCACCGCCATGTTGGTGGCCAGCCGGTCCATCTCGTCCTCCATCTTCCGGAAGTCGTTCTTCATCTTCCGGATGGTGTCTGGCGGGGCAAGGGCGCGGGGGAGGGGAAAGGAGGCGACTTGTCAGCTTGCGACAGGGTCCGACTGCTCCCCCCACCACACACACACGCACACATGCACACACATGCACGCGCGCACGCGCACAACCCTCCTTCCCAAATGCCCCTGAGCCAGCTCCTTAAGGGTCAGGTTGATGATTCAGTGCAAAAAGCAATGGTGTTTGGTCACAGTAAATGGGAGGGAAGGCCGCATCTTCTGAGCACAAGTGCCCTGGTGCGGAGACAGCCCGTGGAGCCACAGTCCCTGCGTTCAGAAGATGCCAAAAGGGGGCACAGAGCACCTGGCAGGAGCCTGTCTGCTCCTTTCCAGGGGCATCCTCCGCCTTCAGCGCACTATGTGGCACAGAGGAGACAATATCTGTTCGCCCTTATCTTCCCAAACCATTTCACTCCACTTTCTGGAACATGTCCTCTCTTCTCTGAAGGGTCCTTTAGCTCTCTTGTCTCAGGGGAAACCTGCCTAAGAGTTTTTCTTTTCACAACCGGTGCCTCAGGGCCTGGCCCCTTGACACTTCTAGATAGTTTCTACTCTTCTTCCCTTTTAAAGACCCCAGCTTCTTCGAAGCCTGTGCCGTCAAACGGCATCCCTCTTGCTGCTGTCCCTCCCCTCCTCTGTGCCTCACCTCTCTGTGCCTGGTCACTGTCACCTCCTTGGGGACATGACCATCCACGTGAATGAGGCTTCAGACATTCCCGACTCTCCGTTCACAGTCTCCTCAGTCCCACCCACCCTTGCCTCTGCCTCATCTGTGCCACCTCTCCTGGTCCTCGGCAAGACCTGTCAATCTCAGCTTCAAGCCTCGCACCTTCTGTAATTCTGATCATTCACCCTGTCTACCCACTCTAACAATCCTTTGCCTTTTCAGGAACTCTGGACCCCTAGCTCGGGGCACTTCTCATCACACTTCTCACGGCTGCAATTCCCTACTCCTTCCCCAGGAACTCTGACCCACCACCAGTGTCATCACATGTTTACAAGCCCCCTTGCCTCTCTTGTCCACTCCCTCCATTACTTGCTAGTGAAACTCTACCGCAGGTTAAGCCCAACTAGCCACCTATCCCATGCATCGGAACAGCTAAAACCGCGCCACAAGATCATGCCAACTGCCTCCCTTTATTTTTTTTTAATATTTATTTGAGAGAGAGAGAGAGAGGGAGGAAGGGGTGGAGAGAGAGGGAGACACAGAATCACAATGCAATTAAATTGGAAATTAATAACAAAACTAGAAAGCAAAGAGACCCCATCATTTGGAGAAAAAAAGAAAACTTCATTCTTAATCGGCTAGTGGGTCAAAAGGGAAATCAAAATAAAGTGCAGCATATAACAACGAGAACACTAGAAATCAGAACCTATAGGCTATAGCCCTCTAGAGCAATGTTCAGAGGAAATCAGTTTTAAATCCCTACATTAATAAATTAGAATAAACATTCAACTCAAGAAGTTAGAAGAAAAAGTACTACAAAAGAAAGCAGAAAGAAATTAGTAAAGCTAAAAGCAGAAATTAATACACTTTTTAAATGGGGTGCCTGGGTGGCTCAGTTGGTTACGCATCCAACTTCGGCTCAGGTCATGATCTCGCGGTTCATGAGATCGAGCCCTGCATCGGGTTACTCGCTGACAGTAAGTTTATCGCAATATAAATAAAAAAGATCAGGATCACTGAAAATAAAAGGATAAAAAATAAAATTTATAAAATGTTAGCTAACCTAATTTTTTTAAAGGGGAAAAAAACGAAATAAGAAATAAGGGGTGAAATAATCATAAATACACAAATTATAATAATCACAAGATACAAGTTTGCTCGATTCCACATAAAAGAATTGAAAACCTGAATGAATAATTTGCTACAAAAACAGAAGTTACCTAAGTGGATTCCAGAAGAACAGAAAACACAAACGGAGGGAAGGGAGAATGTTGTCAATCAAAGATTCTCCCTCCCCTCCACACAAAGGCACCAGGCCCAGGGGATGTCCTGGGGCGGCTACCAGAGCTCAGAAGGGCAGTACGTTCCAATGCTCTGTGTAAGCAATGCTCAAACAGAAAACATTAGAAAAGCTTTCACGTTAATTTGTGGGACAAACCTAACACTGACATGAGAATGTAATAAAAAGTTCAAAGATGAAAATGGTACATTCATGTCTCTTATGAATAGAGATGCATAAATTAATAAATGGAGATGTGTAGGTAAATTAGCAAACATAATCCAGCAGTGGATTAAAAGAATAATTGATAAAATATGTCCAAATGTTTTTTATTTCATAAATGTAAAGACAGCTCAACATTAGAAGCCCCTCCCCTGCCCATTCTCTCTCTCTCTCTAATACAAATAAACATTAAAGAACATTTTTTAAAAAAGAACTTTCAATAATAATTCACCCATATAAAAGGTGAAAGAGGGCCAATTCAACATCTATTCTTGAATTTGAAAAAAAGTCTCTCAATAAAATATGAACAGGGGCGCCTGGGTGGCTCAGTTGGTTAGGCGACCGACTTCGGCTCAGGTCATGATCTTGCAGTCTATGAGTTCGAGCCCCGCGTCGGGTTCTGTGCTGCCAGCTCAGAGCCTGGAGCCTACCTACTACAGTCTCTGTGTCTCCCCCTTTCTCCACCCCTCCCCTGCTCACGCTCTGTGTCTCTGTCTCTCAATAATAAATAAACGTTAAAAAATGAAAATTAAAAAATATGAACAGCTGAGTATTTCTCTAACCTCCAAAACCCAGCATCAAGTTAATGAAGCAATGCTAGAAGCATTCCTCTTAAAATCAGAAAGATAACAAGGATAACCATGATCACCACTACTATCTAAGGTTATTCTGAAGATACTGGCCAATTCGATTGGACTCAAGAAATATATTATAGAGATACACAAATTGGAAAGGAGGTGAAATTATCAATATTTGCAGACAATAGACTTGTATAAATAGAAAACCCTAAAGAATCACCGAAAACATTACAACAAACAATAAGAGAATTTAGTAAGGTGATTAAGTATGGAGTTAATACAAAGAAACAAAATATAGTTGGATTCAGACCACACGCTCTCACACACACACACATACACCAGACGGATCAAAGTTTAAATGTGATTTAAAATGTAATCATGGGGCACCTGGGTGGCTCAGTTGGTTAAGCATCTGACTCTTGATTTTGGCTCAGATCATGACCTCCCAATTCGTGGAGTTCGAGCCCCATGTCAGGCTCTGTGCTGACAGCTCAGAGCCTGGAGCCTCCTTCAGATTCTGTGTCTCCCTCTCGCTCTGCCCCTCCCCTGCTCACACTCTGTCTCTCTCTCTCCCAAAAATAAATAAACATTGAAAATTTTTAAATAAATAAATAAATCATTGGGGTGCCTGGGTGGTTTATTCAGTTGAGCGTCCGACTCTTGATTTTGGCTCAGGTCAGGATCTCACAGTTCTCGGGATCGAGCCCAGTGGCGTCAGGCTCAGAGCTCACAGCGCGGATTTTCTCTCCCCCTGTCCCTTTCCCACCTGCACGCTCTCTCTCTCTCTCTCT